GCATTCGCGGGCTACGCACACGGAAAGGAGCGGTATATAATGAGCCATGAGCCTGACCTTTCGGTCTCTGAAGGTGGACGAAGGACACAAATACCCGAACGCTTTTTCCTTCCCATTTAAATGTAATGGCCTGATGAGAATTTATTGAAAGGATACGTATGCTCGCCAATTGCTCTTCGCTTTTCATTCTATTATCTTTCTATTCTGTAAAGAAGATACCAGAAATAGCTCCTAAAGACCATGTCAGATACTTTATGTGGAGTACTAGTGAAGGACAGTTAAGAGGCCGTTTGAAAAGACGCTTCGCTGTCAGCCAAATTTCGTATTTCAAAATTTTATAACCGAAAACGATCATTTCTCTGAGTAGAAAATTGGAAAATGACAGAACTTCCTACCAAGTATCTGTAATAGGGCATATGAGTACGCATAGTTTTCCGAAACATATCTGCATTTAAAAAGGAACCCATAATAATCGCCAAGGGTCGTTTTTGCAGGTAACCCCTTAAACAGCGAGGGCAAATGTCAGCGTCCTAAAATGACATAAATAAGTTGGGATGGACCTACATGGTGACCAATATTATAATTCTACCCGATTAATATTTTCAAAGCGAAAACCTGGCATACGCCATCCTCTGTAAATTACCTATTATTTAATTGTCAACGATCTACTGAGACCGACTGTAGGTTTGCTTACAATATTTGCAAAACGTCCAGTAGATATTTTTACGCCGCAATGTTCCCATACACATCAGTTGCACTCGCTTAAATTTGATGAGGATCAAGACTGGACGGTTGACAAAGTCTATTGCGAGAAAAGAACATTTTGCCCAAACTAGGTACTTTAGGTGAACATATTTTTCCTTAGATATGTTTTATGCCCACTTGACTTCAACAAGCATTCCTTCTATTGGCTATGCGAAACTTGACACTGATAGCCTAATTAAAACTCGGTGCATCGTGTTCTTCCCTCCGAAATACAAGGGCTTGTTCTTACAGAAGACTTGAAGAAAACACAACCTTTTATGGTTAGAGCACTAAATCCTGCCTTGTGAACGTCAACCACTACCTCTTTTTTCGGCATTGTGAAAATCGGGACCAATTTTCACAAAGGCCTACGCCAACGGGTGCTGGCAACAGCAGAAGCAGTGGCTATACG